AATAATCATGTAAATAAATTGCATGTAACTATTTTGAATAGATGAAATCCTAAAAATTTAAAACAAACAGAGAATATTGTTAGATCTAGAAAGTTTTCCTCCTAGGAGAGAAGATACGTTGAAGATCCTAAGTGAGATGAGATATAATCTCCCAGTCCCAGTCCCAGTCCCAATCCCAATCCAATCCTAGTCGAGGAATATCTTTTTAGTTGAAATAAAATCTTTGGTTCTTGATCCAAAAACCCTTTTTTATCCAAAAAAAAATCAAAATTTTTTTAAGGGGAGATCATTTTAGACCNAGGAGAGAAGATACGTTGAAGATCCTAAGTGAGATGAGATATAATCTCCCAGTCCCAATCCAATCCTAGTCGAGAAATATCTTTTTAGTTGAAATAAAATCTTTGATTCTTGATCCAAAAACCCTTTTTTATCCAAAAAAAAATCGAAATTTTTTTAAGGGGAGATCATTTTAGACACTTTCACACTAAAATAAATCCTAAATATCTATAATTAATTATAAATTATAAGTACATATTAAACACACTGCATACCAAATTACATCGAGCAATTATTGCATCTATTGAGCGTTGTGTGTCGTACAATATTTATATACTAGTTATTTTCTGTACCTGAAGGCACAGAGTAATAAGAAAAATGATCAATAATAAACATTTATATTCACACTCAAAACCAAATCACAAATATAAAAGAGAGAGGTCAAAGTTTAAACACTAGATTGTGGGTGGCAACGGTAATGATGGTGAATTTTGGTTGACAATGATGGTAGTGATAGTCATAGGTGACGGTGATGGTGGTTGTCAGTGGTGGTGGTGGGTGATAGTGGCTGGCGACGGTGGTGAGTAACGACAGATAGTGGTGGGTCATGGTAGTGAGTGATGATAGGTGCAGAAAATGGGCGACGTGGTAATGAAATGATTGTGGTAATTGTAATAAATACAAGAATGAGACAACGATGGTGGTAAGTGGTAGCAATTGACGACAGTGGTAGTAATTGGTGGTGGGACAGTGACTATGGTGGTGGTGGTGGAGTGGTAACGGTGGTGGTGGTAGTGATCGTGGGGATGGAGGGTGGTAGAGGTGATGATAGGACGGTGGTGGCGGTGGTAGGGTAGCGATAATGATGGTGGTGGTTGTTGTGGTGGTGGGCGACAGTGGTGGGGGCGGTGGGGGAGGTCGTAGTAGTGGTAAGGTGACAACAACGATAGTAGTGGTGGTAGAGGTAATGGTGAGGGTGATGGGGGTAAGGTGGTGATGATGATTGGGGGTAGGGTGGTGGGGCAATGGGGGTAAAAATAGTGAGGTGGCCATAATAGTGGTAATGGTGGAGTGGCGGTGGTAGTGATGGTGATGGTTGTGGTGATGGTGGTGGGGCGGTGGAGGTGGTGGTAGAATGGCAACAATGGTGATGGTGGTGGCGAGGTTAATGGTGATGGTGGCGAAAGTGGTGATGGTGGGAGTGATAGAGGTAAGGTGGAGATGGTGATGGGGGTAGGATGGTGGCAATGGGGTTGGTCGTGGTGGGGCAATGAAGGTAGAAGTAGTGAGGTGGCGATAATAGTAATAGTGGTGGTGATGGTGGTAGGGTGGCGATGGTAGTGATGGTTATGGTTGTGGTGGTGGGGGTGGCAGTGATGGTGATAGTGGTGATGGTGATGGGGGTGGTTGTGACAGTGGTGGTGGTGGGATAATTTCAAACACTATTTTTTTAAAAATATATTTATGAGAAATTATAAATATTAAAAACACTTTTAAAAAGTCACTCCAAATACAACCTTATGGGTCTATTTTCATTATTAAATTTGAAGTGTTAATATTAATCGTCGGATTAATTTTAAAGTAAACTTGAAAAATATCTCAACCACGAATAGTATAAATCAATTTATTTATTTTTTGAAATTTGAATTGTATTGTATTTTATTATATAGTTATCACACTAAACTAAATGAGCTTGACAGTAGTATCGAAAAAAAAATTAGTATCATATTTCTAAAATTTATTGTTTTAATAAGTATTTTTATAATTTTTGTGGTTCATTTTATAATTAAAAAATGTGAAAATTTATCAATTTTATAAATGTTTTTATTACTGTTGTAATAATTATTTTTATTACTTTTTTTTCAGTATAAAAAAATTATCAGTTTTATAGGTAATTTATTATATTTATCGGTATTTTTATTATTATTAATTTTTTTTTGATTTTTTTAATATAATAATAATAATAATGTGGTAAAATGGTTACGAAACTGATTTTTTTTTTGGTGTGGGTACCNGGTAATTTATTATATTTATCGGTATTTTTATTATTATTAATTTTTTTTTGATTTTTTAAATATAATAATAATAATGTGGTAAAATGGTTACGAAACTGATTTTTTTTTTTGGTGTGGNTATCGGTATTTTTATTATTATTAATTTTTTTTTGATTTTTTTAATATAATAATAATAATAATGTGGTAAAATGGTTACGAAACTGATTTTTTTTTTGGTGTGGGTACCGTACCGTAAACAATCCCTAGGCTAAATTGTCTGACGCTCGTGTGTGTGTGCGTCCATCTTTGTGGTCAAAGTCGTTGATGGATTGGATTTGATTGCTTGAAGCTATCATTCTAGTTCCACTATCAACCCACAGCCGCTCTCTTCCACCACCGTGCACCATCGCCTACTCTTCCACAAAATTAAAATCTTTTTATTTCACCTATTATTTTGTATTGTATTTATTTATATTAAAATTATGAAATTTAAAAAAAAATTAATTCTAAATACTCTATAAAGTACTGTAGGGGGGTTATTTTCTCAAAATCATTCCACTCTCTCTCTGCCTGTCTCTGTCCCAAATTTTCCAATCATGAAAAAGCCCATCATTAAAAAGCAGTGAACACAAACGATTTCTGTGAAAAAAACGGAAAATTAGAAAAGGAAATTATTCTGACACACAAAATAATTATATCTTGAAAAACTAAAACAGAAAATTAGGTAATATTGAGGAGACTACACAAACACTCCACTCCACTCGCGTTTCTTTACACTCATCTCTCTCTCTCTCTCATCACCAANTAATATTGAGGAGACTACACAAACACTCCACTCCACTCGCGTTTCTTTACACTCATCCCTCTCTCTCATCACCAATACCATGGCTCACTCAAACTAATCTAAAGATGCCAGCCCACATGGGTATGTTTGACGTTACAGGTCGCGAGTACCTTATATTCATGCGAGTACGACTACAATGATCTTATCTTCATTGTGGCATTTCCGTAAATTTATTCCAAAAAGAAAGACAATTTCATAACTCATCTCTTTTAGTAAGACTTTTTGGCAGAGAGNACTCAAACTAATCTAAAGATGCCAGCCCACATGGGTATGTTTGACGTTACAGGTCGCGAGTACCTTATATTCATGCGAGTACGACTACAATGATCTTATCTTCATTGTGGCATTTCCGTAAATTTATTCCAAAAAGAAAGACAATTTCATAACTCATCTCTTTTAGTAAGACTTTTTTGGCAGAGAGCTCTNCTTATATTCATGCGAGTACGACTACAATGATCTTATCTTCATTGTGGCATTTCCGTAAATTTATTCCAAAAAGAAAGACAATTTCATAACTCATCTCTTTTAGTAAGACTTTTTGGCAGAGAGCTCTTCCTTCGCATGCATCGAAACCAGAGATAAAGACATGCATGTTACATATTACACCACTCAACGGTCAAGATTCTTTCACAATTTTCAACCAACACCACACCCACCGTCAGATCTCAAACCATACTCAAACCTCACAGGTTTCAAAACTTAACTATAGTCAACTTCGCTTAGTTAGACTTGGAGTCTCTCTCTCTCTCTCTCTCTCTCCCTCTGTGTGATGAGTTAAGCTTTATTACAACATGAGTGAATGAGTGAGAGGGAGAGGGAGAGAGAGAGAAAGCACAGAGATAGTGGTTAGATATATTGTGATGAGAGATAAAGGTGAGGACTTCTATTTCGTTCNAACTTAACTATAGTCAACTTCGCTTAGTTAGACTTGGAGTCTCTCTCTCTCTCTCTCCCTCTGTGTGATGAGTTAAGCTTTATTACAACATGAGTGAATGAGTGAGAGGGAGAGGGAGAGGGAGAGAGAGAAAGCACAGAGATAGTGGTTAGATATATTGTGATGAGAGATAAAGGTGAGGACTTCTATTTCGTTCTTTTTTTTTCCCTCCCCTCTGTATGAGTATGATGGGTGATGATCAGTTGGGAGTTCCTTCCCTTTATTAATTTTTGGTTTTTTGATTTATGTACTCAGATCTGTGAACCTCAAGTTTTTCTTTCNGTGAGGACTTCTATTTCGTTCTTTTTTTTTCCCTCCCCTCTGTATGAGTATGATGGGTGATGATCAGTTGGGAGTTCCTCCCCTTTATTAATTTTTGGTTTTTTGATTTATGTACTCAGATCTGTGAACCTCAAGTTTTTCTTTCTTTTTATTCCACTCTGTAATCAATCATCACTTTTTGATTTTTCGGATTAGATGATGATAACGCGGAACAGAAATTTCATTCGTTTCTTATCCAATAACTGATCTTTTCTCTCCACAAAATCTGAGTCTTTTTTCCTTTCTTTCTCTCTTTGTTTCTTTCAGATCTAATCTCAAAGTCAAAGAGATGTAAAATGTTTCATTCCTACCTTCATTTTCCACGAAATTTTCAGATCTAGTCTTTCACATGAAGATTTCATATCGCTGACAAAAAATTGTTGCGAGATCTAGTCAAAATATCCATTTGGCTTCAAAATCGTTAGCTTTATGTACTCTTCTTAGCTTCTCAATTGGGGTATGTGCTAGTTGATCATCGTTGGCTGGGGAGTTTTTTTTTTTGTACGTGCATTTAGCTCAACTCAGTAATATCTGGGTTTTTTTTTTAATCTCCAAAAAAAGGTGAGATTGTTTTAGATTCGGTTCGAGTGAAAGTTTCGATCACGAGGACTGGATGTGTTTGTATCGGTGTATGATGATGAATTACTTTCCTGACGAGGTCTTAGAACACGTATTCAATTTTTTGACATCGCACAAGGACCGAAATGCGGTGTCTATGGTGTGCAAATCATGGTACAGAGTCGAGAGGTTTAGCAGGGAGAAGGTTTTCATAGGTAATTGTTACGCCATCGATCCGGAGAGGTTGATCTCGAGGTTTCCTAGGGTTAGGTCTCTCACCTTGAAAGGAAAGCCCCATTTTGCGGATTTCAATTTGGTGCCGCCCGATTGGGGAGGCTTTGTTTACCCATGGATAGAAGCCATGGTAAAATTGGGGGTCCATCTGGAGGAGCTTAGGTTGAAGAGAATGGTGGTTTCCGATGAGAGTCTCGAGCTTCTTTCGAGATCTTTCGTCAGTTTCAAGTCTTTGGTTTTGGTTAGCTGTGAAGGGTTCACCACCGACGGTCTTGCCGCCATAGCCTCCAATTGCAGGTATAAAAGTCTTGTCTTTGTATGCAATAAATATCCACCGTATTTGCTTGTTGGGATTGTGGGGTTTATGTTTGTCAAGTTCTTATTGATGAGTCTCCTTGACTGTTTCTTTTACCCCTTGATACCAATATCTTTTGAGCTTTAGTTCCCGTAATCTGGCGATTTCAATCATAAATATTCTGTATTTGATTTTTTTTTGTTTTTTGACCCTTGCAATTATGATCGGTTCAGAATTGTGCATAATTTAATAGTATATTTGTTAGTTTATTTTTAGGTTTAGCATCGATTTTGAGCTTCACTGCATATCTTTCTTTAGTTGATTGGTGGTGAGCTTGCTATAAAGTTAGCAAATTCTTTAGTTGATTGTTGGTGAGCTTGTTATAAAGTTAGCAACTGAATTATGTTCACAGTGGTTTGGTACCCAACTTAATATCAAAAGCAATTGACATATTCTGTTGTTGCTGTGATTGTTGTTGTCCTTTGTGCTCTTCTCGTGGCATGTTTATCTGTTTTGCCTATTGCTTGCAAATTATTTCTGCATCCGTGTGTTCATAGATTAGTTTAGGTATTTCATTTTGTTAAAACTGTTAGTCAGCGAGACATCAACCCAGCATAGACAGATTGCTGCCTGTCCTGAAAGTGTTGGATGTGTAGAACACTAANTGCTTGCAAATTATTTCTGCATCCGTGTGTTCATAGATTAGTTTAGGTATTTCATTTCGTTAAAACTGTTAGTCAGCGAGACATCAACCCAGCGTAGACAGATTGCTGCCTGTCCTGAAAGTGTTGGATGTGTAGAACACTAAGATTTGGCAATGCCAATCAAAAAGTGAATAATGCAGTAGTTTTGGTGATGCGTGGGACTTTATACTTGATGAGTTTATGCTGATACTGTTGTGTGCTTTTAATTTACTTCAATTTATTTTTGTTCATTTTAATCCAGGTTTCTTAGGGAGCTGGACTTGCAAGAAAATGAAATAGAGGATCGTAGAGGACACTGGCTTAGTTGCTTTCCTGATAGCTGCACCTCACTTATCTCCTTGAATTTTGCATGCCTCAAAGGGGAAGTTAATTTGGCAACTCTTGAGAGGCTAGTTGCGAGATGCCATAATCTCAGAAGTCTGAGGTTGAACCATGTTGTGCCCCTTGATACCCTCCAAAAGATTCTAGGGAAAGCGCCGCAGTTAGTTGACCTAGGGGCAGGAGCTTTCGTTCATGATCCAGATTCTGAGACCCTCAACAAACTAAAGAATGCTATCCAGAAGTGTACATCAATCAGGAGCTTGTCAGGTTTCTTAGAGGTTGCTCCTTGCTGCTTACCTGCAATTTACCCCATGTGCTTGAACCTGACCTCCTTGAACTTGAGCTATGCTCCAGGGATCCACAATAACGAACTTATAAAGCTAATTCGTCACTGCAGGAAACTGCAGCGCCTATGGGTATGTTTTGTAATTTAACTTGCCTTTTAACTTTGTTTTCCCCCCTCTAAGTTGAATTTTTACAACTAAATATTGTCTGTCACAGATATTGGATGTAATTGGGGATAAAGGGCTAGGTGTTGTGGCTTCTACTTGTAAAGAACTGCAGGAGTTGAGGGTCTTCCCATCGGATCTGTATGGGGTTGGGAATGCTGCTGTAACTGAAGAAGGCTTGGTTGCTATATCAGCTGGTTGCCCCAAGCTTAACTCGGTCCTGTACTTCTGCCAGCAAGTAACCAATGCTGCTCTCATAACCGTGGCCAAAAATTGCCCCAATTTTATTCGTTTCAGATTGTGCACACTTAACCCCACTATAGCTGATCCAGTGACCATGCAGCCACTAGATGAAGGTTTTGGGGCGATCGTTCAGTCGTGCAAAGGTCTTAAGCGGTTGTCGCTCTCTGGGCTTCTGACTGACCAGGTTTTCCTTNTCCAGTGACCATGCAGCCACTAGATGAAGGTTTTGGGGCGATCGTTCAGTCGTGCAAGGGTCTTAAGCGGTTGTCGCTCTCTGGGCTTCTGACTGACCAGGTTTTCCTCTACATTGGAATGTATGCTGAGCAGCTGGAAATGCTTTCAGTTGCGTTTGCTGGGGGCACTGACATGGGAATGCTCTATGTGTTGAACGGGTGCAGGAAGCTTAAAAAACTAGAGATCATGGACAGCCCTTTTGGTGATGTGGCACTTCTAGCGGACATAGGGAAGTATGAAACAATGCGATCCCTTTGGATGTCATCCTGCGAAGTGACCCTTGGAGCCTGCAAGACGATTGCAAAGAAGATGCCGAGACTCAATGTGGAGATCATTGACGAAGGTGACCAGATGGAGACTAGCCCTGATGATAGACACAGAGTAGAGAAGATGTACTTGTATCGATCGCTGGTTGGGCATAGGAGAGATGCACCGGATTTTGTGCGGACGTTGTAGATGTGTCTGCTCACTCGCATTGTCATGCCCTTCCCATAATTGTTTTACCCTCTTAATTAGTTGTACTTGCTTAGTTAAACTGATACATGTATTTTTAGTTTTATGATGAATTTGCTGGCATTGTTTTTTCTATCTATCTATCTATCTGTCTGTCAGTTATCACTAATCCTTGGGTGCTACCTACATTTGCACGGTATATAACATGTCCACTTCACAATTAAGATTTCTTGCACAACTCTCAGAAGTCGGGACAATGTCGTGACAAGCAAGTCATGTCGCCTGTTGTACGTACTGCTTATAGGATTCCTCCCATGTAGAGAATAATATCCGGCAGCTCACCTCCGCTTGGATTGGAGAATGGGGAAAAAAGGAACATTTCACACAAAGCTGAACATACAGAGGACATTGAATTTATGCTCCTGGACATTCGTATTCCTCATGAATAGTTAGTTTGGTGAATCTACAGCCGGCCAAAAGATAACGTCGTGCACTTTTTCAAAAGATAACGTTGTGCACGTATTGATTGAGTTGCTTTATATATAAATCCCAGAAATTTGTTGTTTGGACTAAAAAAACCTAACGGAGGGTTTTTCAATGAATATCAAATAACATAAATGTCACTTTGGGATTTTTTTTTATTCAATGATTGGTTCCACTGGTTTATGGTACCAGCTTTACAAGCTTTGGAGTTGAACTAATGACTCATTTGACCCAATCTCTTTGTCGGGTTGTTCAAATTGAATTTAACAAATATATACAACTACGATCTCTCATGCATCATTTTGCTATGTGTCCTGCTGAGACTTGTGCACACCAAGACTCCTTGATTTTAAATTTATTGGTGCTGATATCCTCTATAGTAAAGTCGAATTTCAAAGTAATTTCAATTCAAATTAATTACAAAAAGAGAGTCGTATACTGGATTTTGCATGGAGTTGAAGCAGGTGACGTGGCCGAATACCTAAAAGATTTTGGAAGTATACAAATAGATCAGTGAGGCATAATATTGGCCGCCTAAAATGGAATCACAAGAAGAAAAGAACAAAGTTGTATCATATCAATAAGGTCAGCAGCTCATGTTTACAAATTTTAAGGAAGGCATCCACAATAATAGATAAGTCGGGCATAATACCATGAATCCCCAACGGTAGAATATCTTAAAAACCCCACACGGGGTAGATATATAATAATAGGTACACAGAGAGAAATATTTGTAAGACAACCATATGATGAACAATTTACCATATCCCAAACAAGTGATGTACATTCAACTGCAGCTTAAAGGCAGCATTCCTCCAGCACACAGCAACAGCAAAGCGCAGCCAAACTGCATAACGTAAAAAGAATATTCAGAAACTGCCTTCATCCAATAAGATTGCTGACACATCCAAAAATAGATCATATATAATGAATTAATAATAATCTCACATGCAAAAAGAAGAGAAGTTATTAAGATGAATGCCTAACTACAACGTACCTACTTGAACAATGTATATTGATGCAATAAAGGAAAAGTTGTTGAGGTGTGGCTGTAGGAATTATCCTTAGGTTATGGTAATTTTGAATAACCTTAAAAAATCACATTCGACAATACCTAATGGACCTGCAAATACAAGTTCTTGACAAGTACAATTATGAGAAACTCGAAGTCCTTGTAGCGACAAGGGGGTTAAAGCATTCCCTTAATACATTGAACTTTGTTCAAGGCAACCAGAAAGTTACAGTTTCTTTAACAGATATGGCAAGCATAAAGATATCAACTTATTCAATTACCACGAGTTAAGAGAACCTATTACCATTTATACGATTAACTTGCAAAATGTTGATTATTGATTAACAGTGCATTTCATGGAACAAAGTTTTGGGACCCCACTCAACTCGGCTGGTTGATTTAATTCGTCATAGACCCAATGCTCTTGCAATACTTAAAACACCAAAATCTATGAAATGATTTGTTTAGCTTTCCTATTTGGATTGACGAGGAGAATATTCAAGGGAAACCAAATTTTTTTTTAACTTAAATGTTTTCCTAAATACACTGTCGAGATCCAATTAGAAGTTCTTTAAACTCTGGATTAAACTTTTTGTTATCTTGCATGTAAAGAAAAATGCATCATAAAAATCACAACAGCTTACAATTCTGCTTTCAATATAAAGGAATGCCAATGAGAAAATATTTGGCAATTAATTTGAGGATCAGTTCTTCAACGGGTACATGAATGAGTAAGACTATTTCATAAAAAAAAACTAATGCTTCCATTTTAGGGTGAATATTTTGATCAGTTATTGAGTCACTTAGCAGATCAGTGAACATTTTAACACCAAAATATAAAGGACAAACTCCATGTATACATTGGGGACACAAAGAAGCACAAACTCCGTAAAATAGACAATGAAAGGAAGTAGCATGAAACTTCAACAATTGAGTAAGCAACTCCTCCCAACTTAAAAATTGGGAGCAAGGGATTTTGGAAATTCTATCAATCTGTCAGTTTTAGATCCATAATGGAGGGAATGCAAGTAACTCCTTGCTAGGTGACCCAAACATTGGGTAACTCACACATCAACTATATGGCAAACGGCAGCATTTGCAAGTTACATAAGATGTTGATTCCTTAAATGGCAACATAATGAGTATGTTAATTATTCATACAACTGCAATCAACATTAGGGAGCACTAACAAAGGGTACCTATATTACCATCATAAATACAGAGCATTATTTCAATTTCCAATGATCATGCAATCAACTGCAACGAGAGATCGAAAACCTCCCCTTTGATCATAAATTTCACTTGTGGCCTTTTCATCAATCAAATGGTCCTTTTAATGCCTTCGTGGTTCACAAAAGAGGTCATTGTTGGTGCTCAAGTAGACCTTTTTTTGCTAATGAGCTAAGTATTTTAATCCACTCTCCTTGAAAGTATGATGTCTTATTTAGGATTGATGAGGTGTAAGGCGCACCAAAGTGCTAATCTCATCCGCGCCTTAAGTGCATGGTGCAAGGTGAAGCGCGGTGCTAATGTCATCCACGCCTTAGAAATGGATATCTTTTTCTTATATCAACATTTTTTTCAACCAAGGCATAAAAATTACATAACACAACCAAAGAAGCCCAAGGATACTTAAAATACAATAACACAAGCATGTCATGAATTATGAGGCATTCAAGTTCAAACTTTTAATTGCAAAATCAAACAATTCACCATCAAAAAACAATAGAACCAACACATGCGACACAACAATTAGAATGCGCATACACAGCATATTAGTGCATTACACAACATTTCATACATTTATAATAGGATAAATTGCACCAATAGTCCCTGAAGTTTGTCACTTATTAAACTTTAGTCCTTAAACTTTTAATTTTGTCAATTTAATCCTCAAAGTTCACCCATTGCACTAATGTAGTCCCTCGCACTAACTTTGCCTAAATCATTGACAAAAAATAGCACATGCCAAGCATGTGACCAATATAAAGGGTAATTAAGTCATTGCTCCTCAGCCTACTGTCAACACACTTATTCCTCTTTTAAACAATTCTAAACCTAAACCCAAACACACTATTTGTTATTCTCCTTTCATATTCGTACACCCCCCCCCCCCCCCAACGGAACACCCACCCACAAAAGCAACACATCAAACTTTTTCTCTTACTCTCCACATAGCACTCACCAAACCCAACAACATAAACACCACATGACTAAATTGAAGAAATTAAAAGTTTAAAGACTACAATTCAACAAGTGGTAAACCTTAGGGACTATTGGTGCAATTTACCCTTTATAATAAGAAGTTAAGCACCAACAATTAGAACCAGCATGTACAAGTGAAATAACAAATAGAGAGAAAAAATAGAGACAGGTTGAATGGGTTAAAAACAGAACAACAATTAATATTGGTTTAGAGTGGGAAAAAAAAAAAAGCAAAGCAAGATAACTCACATAATAAACAAAACAAAGTATTGGAGGATGGCCAAAAGAAGAGAAGAAAAGAGACCAACCGGCAATACCCAAATTAAAAAAATATGGCCCAAAAAATCAATTGCTTTCAGTAATTGACAAAACTGGAACGAAGAAGAAGAAGCCAGTACCCAGTTTGCTCCGTCTTAGATTAGTAACCAATTTGCTCCATCGTCTTGAGTCTCTTTACTCTTGAGGGCCAATTACAATTAGAGACATGTTATGATTAAGGTTTGTATTTATACTCTTAAGGGCTAAAATCAAGTGTGGTAATATATCATAGAAGTATTATAATAGACAAACTGTAAGGTCTAAAATGCATCATAGAATAAACTCCAAAAATTAAAAAAAAAAAAACGTCGCTTGAAGGGACTAGGGCTTAAGCTCAAAGCGTGTGCTTTTGGGGCTATTTGGAATAGTTGTGAGTGGAAAATTGATGCTCAAACTAAGAGTAGAGCCCCGTATATATGGCCAAATAATAGTACAAAGTGATCTAAACATTCTTGTGATTTAGACAAAAAATAAAAATCATAGTAAGGGTAAAAAGAGAAAAAGAAACTCTAATAAACTAAATTATACTCCAACGTTTCCTCTCAAATTAGGCGCAAAAATATCAACTAAGTCAAGCTTGATAACGGAGTCCCAAAGAATAGATAGAGTGACAGGTGTGGTGAAAACAATCGCAACTTGATCACTGGTCCCCACAAACAATGGAATGACAATACCACAACTAACCTTCTCCCGAAGAAAGTGAACATCGATTTCTATATGCTTCATCCTCTCATATAGTACAGAGTCAGAAACAAGCTGAATAACAGATCGATTATCACAATATAATGTAGATGAACAAGTTCCTAAAAATCCCAACTCACTAAGAATCGATCGTAGCCAGATAATCTCACATGTGTCAAGTGCTAGTGCCCGATACTCTGCCTCCGCTAACGAACAAGAGACAACTTACTGTTTTTTGCTCTTCCAAGAGATAAAATGAGCCCCTCAAAAAGTATAGAAACCCGTAGTAGATCGACTATCACACGCTCCCCCATAATCTTAATTTTAGTAACAGACTAGAGAACCAGTCTAAGATCCTGATGCATAGAACAACCTAAGTCCAGGACAAGACTTGAGGTACCGAAGAATATGATAAACTGTATCAAGATGAGGTTGACACAGCCTGTGCATGAACTGACTAACTCGGCTGACAGCGAATGAAATGTCTAGCCTAGTGTTGGCTAGGTAGATAAGTTTACCGACCAACCTCTGATAGATAGCCGGATCACTCAACTCCTCGCCTTCAGCAGTAAGTTTTAGATTTGGAATCATGGGTGATGATGTCGGTTTGCACCCCAGCATTCCAGTGTGCGATAGAAGATCCAAAACATACTTTCTCTGAGAAAGTATCATCCACATATACCAAAAGAATAATACACTGCCCAAAAGTATTCCGTCGAATAAAGCATGTATGATTAGAATGACATCTGGTAAACCCTAAACGTACAACTATACCACTAAATCGAGAGAACCAAGCTCGTGGTGACTGTTTCAATTTATAAAGAGACTTATGCAGTCAACACACCTTACTAGCATATTCCCCCTCACCACAAAAGTCTGGTGGTGCATCCATATAAATAATCTCGTTCATATCACTGTAAAGAAACGCATTCTTCACATCTAACTAATGAAGAGACCAAGAGTACTCTAAAGGTAAAGAGACAAGATCTCACCACTGAAGATAAAGAGACAAGATCTCACCACTGAAGATAAAGAGACAAGATCCCACATATGATTACGCTAAAGAGCGTCCATCTCTGTTTGCATGGCAAGAACCCACTGGGGTTCCTGCATAGCCTCTGAAACAGAGCGAGAAACCGTTGTATCTGATAAGGCCATACTATAAGCTTGAAATGTAGGAGGCAGATCACCAAAAGAAACATAAGCAGAGATTGGATATAAAGTCCTGACGATCCAACTATAACGAACAACTGAACGGCGATCACGCTGAGGATAACAACACCCTAAATCATCATCCTCCACTGACAATGTCTTATCAGTTAAAGTAACTGGCTCAGTACCTGCAATTTCATCAGTACTAACAACAGGTGCATCAATATGATCAACGAACTGAGAAGTATTACCTGCATCGCCTGAAGTAGAGGGGACATCAGCAAAGAGTTGAGAACGAGGGCGACGAACATAAACCTGCAAAAGAAGAGAGACTAGTGATAGTGATCAATGACTCTGACTCCTGTGATAATGAAAAATCAAAGAGAGTATCATCAATTGGAGGGGCAGTATCGAGTATGCAAGAATGTTACTTCTTTGGGCTCCATCTTCGGAATAGCAGCAAAAGGACGTAGAGTCTCATACTCAAGTCAGCGTTGGGTTAAATAATCATAATAATCCTGAACCGTCATATCTTCTTGCCGAGCATATGAAAGCTCCTAAGAGAGCTCATAGACATGAACTCCTCGTCTAGACTGGGAAAACATCTTAGATAATGCGCTCCATAGCTTCGAAACAGAGTTATGAAACTGATGAATCCTGCAGACAGAGGACTCCATTGAGCCAAATACCAAGAATAGCACAGCTCTCAGAGAATCACGCGAAATACCCAGAGTTGTCATCAGCCGACTTTGGGTGAGATCCCGCCAACCAACCAAGCTTTCCTACAAGGCCTAAGAAAAGCTGGAATAAGCATGACCTCAGCAAAGTTACGATCATTCAACAACTGTGCCGTAATCTTCTGAGAGATCATACCCGGCATTGCCAGTAATGCAACTGTGTCAATAGGTACTGTATACTGGTCAGACATAAAAGTGGGAATACATCCCAAGTGAAAATACTAACAGTAGAAATCTCAAGTCCCTCAGTAGTAGTCATATCAACAATAATACGTGGGCACCCGTGACAGAAAAAAATCTAAGATAAGTAAAGAGACAAAATAAGGGAGAACAATATACCTCTAGTCAAACAATAGCGACAGATAAAGAATTTTTAGAAAGCTACCAAATAATCAGGTCACGGTGTCCAGAAATCCAGTGAATATATAAATGATTTATTGCATCAAAAGTAGAACAACGGAGAAGAGGATTCAACCCCTCTTAAAAGATAGGAAAAAGAAGGTAGTGGCGCGAATAAATGGTGACACTACGACAAAGAGCGGAAAGTACGAAGGCGTACGAAGGCAAAACACGAAGCTGTGACGAAGAGCGCGATCTGGCAGTGGGCTGGTTCGCTGGAGTGGGTACTGGATTGGTCAGGGTTGCTGGCCTTATGTTTGGTTTGCTGGTTTGATGTCGCTGGGTGGTTTCGGCAGTTGGAGTTACTTTGGTGTTTGGTTTGCTGGTTTGCTGTGGGTTTTGGGTTGGGCAATGGTTTGGTTGGGCTGGATTTGCTGGTTGGACTAGGTTTTGGGTTGGGCAATAGGCTGGGTTTTGGGTTGCTGGTGGTATGTGGGTGCAAATAAGCACGAGTATTAGGTTGAGTGGGCTTTCGGTGGGCTGTTGACTTGGGGGTATCGGTGGGCTGTGGACTTGGGTGGTTTGTTGCTGGGTACTTGGGGGTTTCGCTGGGCAGTTATTGAGGTTGGGCTGGTTTGCTGATTATGGTGGCTCGGTCGGTGAAGATGGATGTGTGCTGGGTGTTTTGGTGGACTGGGCAGTTGGCCTAGGTGGGGTGGTTTCGCAGGGCAGTTCTTGGCGGTGGATGTGATGTTGCTGCTTGCTGGGGCTGGAATAAGTTAAGGCTGCTGAGTATAGTGGAGTCTATGGTGGAGGTTAGGGTTCGGGTTAAGGTTAGCGTTTGAGTTTGACTCTGATTAGTTGTGAGTGGAAAATAGATGCTCAAATTAAGAGTAGAACCTCATATATATAGTCAAATCATAGTACAAAGTGATTTAAACATCCTTATGGTCTAGACAAAATATAAAAATCGTAGTAAGGGTAAAAAAGGGAAAAACAAACTCTAATAAACTAGACTATACTCCAACAGGACTTAATCCGAGCTTTTCTACAATTGCCTCACCTGGGCTTCTTAAAGCACTGGACCTGCGCCTTGGGCCTAGGTGCACCTTTTACAACACTGGACAACCTTATGGTATTTTCAACTTTTTGACTGTCAAACCCCATGAAGGTAATATCTCTAAGCATGTACTAGCACATAGAACCCAAACATGGAGTATATTAGCAACATCATCCTCAAAGGTTCTCACTACTCACTTAGGTTCACCTGTCCTTGCTCCTTATTCATCTCATATTCCAAGTACAACCCATTCGTCTCAAACAAAATATTGCTTTGCTCACTTCAACGACCTCAACAGGAGTCATAGTGCATTACAGTGATCTTCAGATAGTAAAATTGAAGAAAAATAAATTGCCTGTCTACCCATGAACTTCGAACCATTAAGAACCCCCACCCCACAGGCAACACCCAAACAAAAAATGAAAATAAAAAAAAGGTAGGGTTTATAGTTGTTGTTCGAAAAGCACACAAAGTGGAATGAGACTAAAAGCCAAGATGAGGCACCTGCCCAAGAACTTTAAGCTTTTGCTATTTTGGTTTGCAACCACAAATAAAGAAATGAAAGGAAACAATGTTGAGCAAATTGAACCAGTGCTAAAAACCAATACTAAGCTCCAGTGAGATATTGCTGTAACCATCTAAATCAAGGAAGGGCAACTATTGGTGTGTTATTGCATTCACAATAACATCCTCAGCTTTAGTAGTTAAAACTAAAAGTGATAACAATCTAAATCAAGGAATCACAACCGTCGGTAGTTAAGACATAAATATTCCCAGTACCATAACCAAATGTTAATAACAGTGAGAAGTAACATAATATGATCATAAAGACATTGGCAAACACAGGTAACGAATGCCATGGTAAATAGTTATTATTCATGTCAACAGGCTCATTTTCAGTCCTAAGCCAAACACACTCATACCAAAACTTATGATACAGCCAAATGGGACCTGTTTCATTAATACGATAACAGTGGAAAGGGTTAGTTTTCACAAAAGTACTTATTATTTGCATAATCTGAGTTCTATAAAACAAAACCAGAAACCACAATGAAACGCAAGAATGTTGACAGAGAAACAAAACAGCAATCAACCAATCATACTCATGTCTCATAGCGATATATCCAAGAGTATGCAAAAATTAAATATTAATCTTTGTGACATTAGAAATTATACACAAGGAGTAAAATGAAACAGTACACTTCAAAACCTTATAGCTCAAATAGATTCGGATTTCCCAGAAGTGAGAATTACAATTTGAAGCAGATCTTAATGTCGCCAACTAAATTCCCAATAAAGAGCTCAAAAAATTGATAATGACTACCTGTTGTCCTGATCTCTAGTTGAAAGAACCCATAAGCATTCATATAGTGTAAACTTAAAAAACGATAATTGGGGAAAGCAGAATGACATACCATCCTCGAAGGAAAGAGGAACAACCAGTCTGATGTTGGTGATGGTTATGCTCGGAGTGCTGGACATGGTATGGCTGGGGTGGGGGCGGGGGAGGTGGGTACCCTTCACTGAAGTATCCTTGATAGCCCCAAGGACGTGGGGGTGGTGGATGAGGATATCCTGGTGGGGGTGGTGGATGAGGATATCCTGGTGGGGGTGGTGGATGCGGATATCCTGGTGGTGGGGGTGGAGGATACCCTTCACAGGGCGGTGGTGGTGCTGATGGATGCCTTGGTGGTGGAGGATATGGTGTCCCATACCCTATTATCCACATAAACAAAATTCAGTCAAAAAATAAAGTCTAAAACGGCAATAAAATTAATCAAGAAAGAACAAAATGAAAGGAGAGATTATCTGATCAGAATCTAAAATTCTGAACCTTTACTGCTCAATATCAAACAGAAAAAAAAACAAAAAGGAAAATCAATTTACAGAGGAAGGATAGAGGAAGAATTTACCTGGTGGAGGATGGGGTTCTTGAGGGACTCTCTGGTAACTCATATTTTCTCTCTCCTCCAGAAAATTGTGAGCTCGATCAAGTTTTGGGAGAGGAAGTCCAGTCGCGGTTTCAATTTCTATTCATTGCATTTACCGCTCTGTGTCCAATAACATAAGACCACGTCGAGTGTAAAGTCAATGGATTTCTATATGTGAACAACGTGAGGGACTTAATGCAATTACGTGGCGTGGTATTATTGGGGATTGTGCATAGCCTAAAAGGAATTGAGGTACCGCTGAAGTAGGACCCAGATGATATCTCCTCTCCCCTTCGGATTTTGGACTTTTCTGTCCATTGCAGCTAAGCAGGAGTCTTCGAGGAAAGGGCCCCCAAGGGCGAAAGGCAATATACAACGTGACATGAACTTCCTTTATTTGGAATTTTATGGGTTCTTCTTCTTTCTAATCAGACATTTTCTCGTGAAAAGAATTTTGATTCAAGTTCCTCAAACTATGTCTCTCAACTAAAATTAGAGAGTCGGACTTCTTATGCGAAGAAAGAACACGGCCTAATTTTAAGGAATTCAAATAATAATAAGGACGAACTGTAAAATCAAAATATTATAATTCTGCCGTTTATGATTTATCTTTAATCGAAGAGAAGAATAGGTTAATCTAACCTCATCTTTGAAAAGCAATGTGTGAGATATGGGCAATCTTTCACTTCTGTAATAAATGTATCTGTGTTTCTTCTATCATCTCCTACCTTTGGGACATGAAGTGACTCGGACATTAGGAACCATTGAGCAAAAAAATAAAAAAGAAAGAACACAGCCCACCCCCTGGGGCGGGATCTACATGCATTGTTTCAATTGCCCCCCATATCATTTTAATTCCAATAAATTGTCTCCCCAATTTTGCACATTGCTACAATGTGGACCGTCAAAAACTGACAAAATGATCACGAGAATATCAAAATATCATCAATTTCATTAAAACACAACAGCTATTTCCATCATTTATGTTCAATACACCTAAACTTTGCGGATACAATTTGTTGCAATTGAGACGAGAGGATAATTTATATATGCAATTATACTAACATTACAATCATGTATAAATAAAGATGAATTATTTCATTCAATTTGATATCCAATAACACACATCTTACATCATCATCGGCTTTACTGTTGGATTGCCTACCCAATCCCACAGTTTGCCCCGCTAGCTGCTTTTCTGTTTTAGACAGTTATTGCGAAGGACCAATCACCCTGTGATCCACAGCTTATTTATGGTACAAAGTTCTATAACAAAGACACAATCAATGCAGCTCAGAAAATAGGTAAAACATAGTGACAAATATAGACAAATAAAACACAACAAATGTAAGATCTTGGGGAGACGAGCAAAAGTTTTAAATTTCTCTTCCATCGTGAACAAGTGCTCAAAGATAGGCCGGGCAGAGTAACATGTCTGTTCACCTCAAGCATCTAACAAATATTGTTCACAAGTTTATACAATGTCCAAAATTCAAAAAAGAAAGATCAGCTAATAGAAGCTACTGAATTTGCTTAGTAACCTAATTATTAGCGCTTCTTCTTGCTTCCCTTCACAGCACTGGATTTAGATGGGCTTGCAACCAGGTATATGAACAGAACCACAATGGAGATCACTGATATTAAGGACCCATATTTTGCTAACAATCTCTGCAAATACAGAGAAGTTTAGATTACCAAGAAAGTATAGAGGCTTCATATAAAACCAGAATAAGTCAACCCATACTTAAAAAGAGTTATGGGAAGGCACTACTATTCTCCACAGGACAGATACATGGAGAAGGCATGATAGGGTAAAACCCTAATCCATAAACCTTCTCCATCCATCACATGCATAATCCACAAACCTCCTATGTGTTATTTCTAGATCTTCTCGACACAAATTTTATTATTATTCGTGTCAACAATCTGGAAAATCAAATAATGAGATTAAAACTAGAATTAATCATACCTTAGCCTGAGATGATTTGCCCATCGCCGAAGATGATTTCATGTGAAAACCAGAAAAGCAATTCTTAGTAAAGACAGGATATGCAGGCTAGAAAGAAGCAGTACGTTAATAATCTGTGAGAAACTTACCCACTCAAACTTCTTCTCAGGAAGTCTTTCTGCCAGAATGTCGAGGGGCAGAATTGGAGTTGAGTATGCCTCCTAAATGGAAACGATTGAGATTATATTATGTTGTCTTTACATAAACCCAAAGCTTAACGACAATTAGCATCAAACCTGTAGAGCAGCCTTTGTGGGCACGCGGAAGGTGATAACTGCTGGTGCACCATAAAACTGTGTTTTCACTTTGGACTCCAATTCAAAAGAGTGTGACAGAAGCGCACCACTGCCAAGTATACTTGTCAGCATGGTAAAGAAAAGATATAAATTCAAGACATGAACAAAAAAAGACCACTAAAATATTGCCACCAATTGGCATATTTGGAATTCAGAACTTACGCATCAAGCCTATCCCACGACATTGAAGTGTTAGCAGTGGCAATGTCAAATACATCTTGGGACCAGCTATCATCAGTTAGACTGACATCGTATGCCGTCCTGAACACACAATAATGCACAAAAATGTGAAACTATATAAGCAATGAATATGATAAAGTTACAAACAATGTCTGTGTTAACTAAAATCAAAACATCAGAAAACTATTAGTAATCATATGATGCAAGATACCTAATAAATTCTACCCACATTGCACAACGTAAATCTTCTTCTTCTTCTCTCCGCCTTTTGGGAGGGGAGAGTGGGAAGGCTTTCTAGGAGCATCTGACTCTGACTAGTCACATGCAATCCTTTTGTCCCACATGCATCAGATAACTATATGAAAGAGTCAAATGTGTTCCGGTAAGTAACAGAACTGTGAAAATTTAGCCAACAAAATGTTTGGGCTCAAAACATTGTTGTTTGACAAAATTTGGAGCGTATTGCATTGCAAACTATTGCTACTTGGACCTAATTTTGAATTAGCAACAAGTCTCAATATTGGATGGTGTCCATTGTCAATCCAATAATTGTAGTGGATTAGGTAAGCAAATAGATTAATAAATTAGGTATGAATAGCATTATTCCAACTCTAATATTTTGATATCAACAAAAAGACAAACATACATACCACAAAACTCAAATGGTTGAGACTTGAGAGACTTGGCCCACTAACATGAGACCTAACTTTGATTCGATGGCATTTCATCCAACCCAAAACCAATTGATAATGGGTGGATAGGCCCCTCAACCATAAAACAAACCTTCGATTACCCTAGTTTATCGACGTGGAACAAACGCGCTTCAGACAAACAACTTTGGAAATAGCAATCATTTCTGCAAGAAAGTTCATCGCACTCTTTTTACAACTGACAATAGTGAAGTCCATCAACATCAAACTCCTTTACATTAATTTCAAATTTAGACAAATCAATCTGTCCTTTACATTAAATTCAAATTTTGAAAAAATAAGAGAACAAAGTTACCGGCCAAAGTTTGATTGAGACACAATACTATCAAACATTACACATCTAAGAACCACTTACAATTAGTAAGGGATGGTTGAAAACAGATTATTGAAATTTAAATCGTGCGCTATAAGCTTTAAGCCTCAAGAGACCAATATTCTCCATTTATCACCACAACTATCAGACAGAAAACCAGATGCTTGAGGATGTGTAGAATACTTAGAAACTGTAACCAAATTAAACAATACTACAACAAAGTAATTCAATTTAGAGAACTTGCACTAGAAGCCATTCAAAAACAGCTATTCATTAAAACATTAGCATAGTATTTGAAATCTCATCACAAATTACACCATGTCTTTTTTCCTTTGGCCACACATTCATTCTATTATTATCTGTCAAAATCATTTTAATAAAGATCTATAATTGCAATCTATAATCATCTTTTGATTATAGTGTCAAAATGGGATGTTTATTGTTATAAATAACACAGGATTACAGAACCCAGATTGTGTAATAAAAATGTTGAGATTGACGACACGTTCTGTCGGATTGTGGTTCTAACATAATCTGTGAGCTGAGAGAGAAGATATTCCACTTCAGTTCATGATGAGATTGATGTCTCTCAACAAAAAATATATGCACTTGGAGGGTAGAGAACCCCAAAGGAGTTGACCCCATTACCAAGTGATAACAACAATGATGAAGTGCTTGTCTTGATGAGATGAGTTGAGCATTCATTCTTAATGTCGCCGGAGTTGATTAAACATGGTTAAGATTCTTGGTTGATGCACCCAGCTCAGGTCCTAATGCCAGGCAAACTATAAATAATTTCTACTAGCAATTTTAGATGGGAGATTTACATCTAATAATTACCTAGTAACCCGGTCATGGTAGAATGTCCAACAGAGTGAGGCCTCATTATGGATTGATAAAACAGCAGCAATGCAACAAGAAGCTTCTAACTTTGTGCAAAACCACAACTAAGTATAGCCATACAAAATAAGATGGTCTAAAGCTGTAAAATGGACCACTTCTATGCACTGATAGTGTACAAAACAAACGTGGTAGCAATTCATGCAAGGTCACCCCAGTTAAGAGCAATCTACGCGAAAGTGACATAAATACCTTGAATCAGATATTCACAAAATAAAATCAGATTAGCTTTGCAACTCCATCTCCATTTTCAACTAAACTATTGTAGACGTACCTTTTAATTGAGTTGTTAGCAAATGCAGCTAAAAACTGTTTATGCTATTAATATCTCTAGTAGATTTTCAAATTTTGAATAAAAGAAAAAGAACTGTTACCAACAACAAATCAAATAATACAAAAAATTTGGTCTAAATAGTAATTACTGAGATACAGCAAACGTTAAACTATTAAGGCATAGCTTTATATTTCTTTTTTTTTTTTTTGCCTATTTTGAATCTGAACTAAGGCATGGTCACCATACAATCCGGTACACAAAACTAACTTCAACGGCTAATAGACCGGAGAAATCTGTAAAACTGCATCGACCTAAACTCCAAATCAAGATCATGCAGGTAAACAGTTACTTAATACAAAGATAAACACATACTAAAACATTGTTTAAAAACTAGCCAAAATAGTTTTGGATCTACCAGAAGAAGTAACATTTCCAAAACTAGACATAATCAAATTGATGGAAATTAGAAGAATCGAAGGAAACATACGCAGATCCTTGGTTGTAGATGTCGATGGAGACGGAGATTCGTTCAGCGCCGGATTTTAGTTTGTTAAGGGTGGCCTTCTTGTGAGCCACGATGAATGGAGTTTCCGAGCTGGCAATCGTAGACGAAGACAACAAGAACACAGCTATCAGTACCGAGATCAAGCACTTGGTGATCAGAATCGCCATGTTATTGAATGGTTCTTGATGTTCAGCTTCAGCAAGGTGGAGATTTTTATTGGATCTCAGATTCCAAGAGAGATTCTTCAGTAAAATGTTTTTCGACAGAAGACACTAGCAGAAGGGAAGGGTTCGTACCGTAATTTGCGTCTACCGTAAACATACCACAGATGAGAAATGACTATTTATTTATTTCTTTTTGGGAACGCCAGTTTGACTGAGCCAAGCGAAGCGAGTGCACACTATCGGCATTTCCAATATCGAAAATCTCGGGCCTATTTGGGTCCCCTTGAACTTCAGTGACAGAAGCCAAGCCCACTAAGGCCCGAGATGAACCTTACCGACTAAAGACTGCAGAACAAGCCCAAGTTCGCCCCAACATTAGTAAATTAGGCTAAGCTCCCTTCTTTTGTGTGTAAACTAATTTTAGTTCTATCAAAATTTTAGTATAAAAATCCTCCAATTTAAAAAAAAACTTGCACGTGATACTTGTATCGGTGCAAATGTGAAGGAATTGGTTAGTTACTGATTTTCATTACGTATTTTGCCTTCATCACATGATTTTAGTTTAAAATATAGTTAGTTTCTTTTTTTTTTCTTTTTTTGTTGTTGAGATTTTTGTGATATTGTCTATCAATTTAGAAATTCAAACTCGTGAACCAAGTAATTTGGTCATTATGATGACATCTGACAATCTGTGTTTTAGTGTACTTGTCTGAAGATTATTACATACCTATTTTTTTTATTAAGTACCTATTATTTTTTGGCTCGAAATATATATATAATTGCATAGGACTTATCTCTAAATCTATATTTAAAATATATATATACACTAGTCATAACCCGTGCCTGAAGACACGATAAAATATAAAATTCGAGTGTTCAAAAAATTCATCCCATTATATTAAATTTTTTCAAAATATATTAACTACAAATTAATTAAATATTAAATGATTAAACATATGATATAAATGAGTGGTGTAATATTTTTAAGGAGGAAATATATAAATAATTAAATATGTGATTGAAATGAGTGATGTGATTTGACGTTTGAGTTTGACAAAGGGATGATGGGTGAGGTAAGTGATTGATGATGATTTTAAAAGGAAAAATATGACTAGGATAAAATTAAAACACACTCCTGTTTTATTATATAAATAATTGCATAGGTATTTTTTTTTAGGGTACGTCTTACGATATGTGTTTATGGAGAAAAATATACATTATGATGACAAATTTTTTTAAAATAGATGTTTAAATTAAGGGATGACATTACCGTTATTTTTTGCAATTGTAAAAGGCACTAATTATGTCAATTACTTTGACTTTTTAATAGGAACCTAATTAAAAAAAAATTGACAAGTAGATTTTTTTGAAATCCTATTGGCCTAGGATGGGCCTCCAAATCTCTCTTTTTGGTAAATGGTGGAATAGTAGGTGCAATAGTCATCCTTATTTAAAAAATATTTTGAGCGTATGACAAGAATTGTAAATAGATCATACCAAGGATATAAAAAATATATATATAAGAGCATCTTAAATATGTTTTTTTTTCCTCACTTAATTCTTTATATTATAATAGAATTAATCTCTAACAATAAAAGTACAATAGACTCTCTATTTGTACAAATTAAAATAGAGAATTCAATTTAACTCTCTATATTTAAAGAGTCTGCCTACACTATAATTATTAAATGAAAAAATGAATTATGCACCTCCCTTATCGAATGTCATTCAGTCTATTGAAGTTGTATAAAAAAATTGCACTATTTATTTTGAGTTTTTTCAAAATATTCTTTGTAATAAAAGACAATAATGGAGACATTCTAAAAAAGAAGTTTATTCGTAAGAAAACTCTTAAAATCAGTGTGTCTATGATAATATAGGTGGGGTCTCTCTTTTGTGCTATCTAATGCTTGATGATTAGATTTTGTCCAAGAGCAATGGATATAATTTTAGAACCTAATTCAAGTACTTAATTCAGTGAAGTCTATTTTTAATTCAACTGTTATAATTGATTAAATACTCAACATTAAATTTATAAATTATGTATAAATAACATTTTTCTTTTTTTGAAATATGTTTATGCTCTCTTCTCTATTGGTAAAATTTCCAATAAATGGTGTTGTACAATGAATATGAATTCAAAATTCAAAATTTAATTTGGTTCATACCCATATTTAGTATGCAACACATATATTTGTAGGATTCACAGATATATTATAATTATTAATAACCATTTGTTATATGTATAAATGATTATTTTACCTTTGATCAATCTAATGCATACTCATGTTAAGAGATACAATTGTCTTTTGGATCCTTAACCCCTTACTTATATTCTCAAACTCACCCCCTCCTTAGGTCTGACGAAACCCATAATCATGAGTTTAATTTTCGGGCCGAATTTAAAAACTCTAGACTAAATTTTTCATATAAACATGAGATTTGGGATAACTTTAAATTATTTTTTTCAAACTTATCTTGCCAAGTTCTCGTACTCTTTTACCAAACAACTCTTAAGGGTGGTTTTAGTGGTTGAGCTTGATAATTGGTAATTCAAATATTTTAAGTTCAATTCATTCTCACATAGCCTAAGGGCTAGCCATGCCACCTTCTCGCTTTAAGAATATATTTTAATTCAGTTTAAGGCACGGTGACCGACCACTAAATTCAAGGGAGATCAACGTAAGACTACACAATTGATAGAATAAATAGAAAATCCTCGGCCTTACACATAATCCGAAGTATGAGAGGTCCACCTTATCCTAAATGGCAGTCCACTTGTTCGTACAAAATTTAAAGATGATGTGAAATTTACAAACCAGAAGAATGCACAAGTAATTTTCTCCCATGGATGCATGGAGAGAGAGAGAGAAGAATTCAACAAAATTCAATGCATCAAGAGAGAGAGAGAGAGAGCGAGAAGAGTTCAACAAAATTCAAACCATGAGCACATGATCTTCGTATACACACATTTCGGCGAACCCATGCAAAAGCATATATGATATATCCAATCCCGGAGGTGATGCTGGTGCAGGTAAGGGAAGAAGAGAAGGCCTAGCATGAAAGCAAAGAGCCTGTAAAGGTAGCCAAGTTGACTGCCTGAAACCAACCCTCAAGGGATCGCAGTCGTACGTAGACAAAGACGGACCCCATGAATGGAGGAGCAGGCAAGTCATCCTTGGCTACCAAACAAGAGAGACTCTTATCTTCATGTAAGACCTCACTTCCTCTCAAATTCAATGCTCCAATGGGATGCCAATACCCGGTAACCAAGCCTCTATTTATAGCCAATCAGGAAATAGTAATCAGATTCCATTTGCCACACCACACCACACCACATAATAATAATAATAATAATTAATTCAGCTCACCCTCAATCAATTTTGCCTCATCCATACCCTTTTATCTTCTTCTATTCATTTTTCTATTCCACTCTCAGCCACGTTATCTCTAGGCTACCCATAATGGAATATATTCTCTTCATTTGCATTTTGCAGGGCCCAACGCATTAACTTCGATCATGTCCTAACACCTCTACGATGGAGATCTTGCTTAGCGCATCAATCTCCCAACTTGCGCAGCTTACTTCAACTATCTGACCTTTATATACCTTCAAAGGGTACATGGGAGTCTATATATATATAGGACAATGTTAGAACGATCAAAAAAAAAAAAAAATCAAATAATGTGATGTTGATATGATGGTGTTTTTTACCTTACTTTTACTTCCTTTATATGCTGTTATTTGGACTTTTTGTCAATGCCACATTATTTACAATTTTTTTGCATCGCTCTTTGTTTTTTTGTATTGATAACATTGCTATTAACATTCCAGGGCTCAGCCTTGGCTTTACCCACTGGAGTTCCTTAATCCTTGGACGACGCAAGCTTATTAGATGCAAAAGGTTTTGGATATATATATATATAGCTAATTTATCACACGCAGCTAGAGCAAGCACTCATATTTCCAAATCAATGATACAGATTTATTATTTTTATTCTGAACTTAGCCTATAAATCTTGTTAAGCTGAACAAGACTGGTGTACTGTATGCTTCCTTGGCTCGAAATCTACATAGACAAGCAACACATGGAACTGCGCTTGAAAGCTAGCCGACCAACTTAAGTTGGCTAGTTTTTGGGTTCATGAGGTGTCTATACAAGTGCTCCTCAGTCAACAATCCTTGTGCTTGAGCCTCTTCCACGTTTTATTTCCTTGTCTAGCATGTTCTCTGATCTTCTCATATTCTGAAAAAGGAGGTGGTGGTTTGACCTCGCTTTAGCACTTAAAGGGAGCGCAAGAAGCACAAAGTCTGATAAAGATATTATTTTTTAGATTTAACCAAAGTTGAAAGTATAAAGTAAAGCTTGACAATTGGAATTTGGAACGCCAATACCAAGGATGATGCTTATTCTCCCACTCGGATGTATAGACGACACCTATTGTTTCAAAAAGCAGAATTAACCCACTTGGCACCTCCAAAATGAAGTCCCATGCGCAACAGGACTAGGGATTTTTTTTTTTTTTTCGAACTAATTTAAGAATATGTCTCTTAAGGAACAAGGGTGATTAGTCCTAGGGGTGTAAAAAGTATCAAACCTAAGACTTTTTACTTACAAGAAGATAGACTCAACTATTGAATCATTCTAAAAATTACTGGACCAAGAATTTGTTCTATAATTGGTTTTACTTTCCACTGTTGTCACGAGTCCAATTGATATCCTTCTCTTTTTGTTTGGTTGGGTCTAGCTACATGTGGAATTCAGGGCGGCCCAACCGAAATGTGGCCTTAGGCAAGAACCGTAAACGTGGCTCTATTAAAATTTATTTTAATACTATAAATAATATTACATATTCTATGTATTTTCATTAAAGTCTGGAATATAAAGATTTATTATGTTCTACGTCACACATCATAGAAAATAAAAAAATTCATGAATAATAAATTTCAAATCCAACAACACAAACTTTTTATTTATATGGATAAGACTACGATACTAAAATTAATATCGTGTTAAACTCAATATTAGTCATTGATTTTTGTTTCAATGATTCTGTAATTATGAATTGACAAAATAATTAGGATAAAAATTTGAAAAAATTATAAAATACTAAAAAATTATAAATTTAAAAATGTTACACATGATTAAGCAACCCAATATTAGCAGACAATTGCCAAGGATGATCTCTGATACATGTGCCACGTCCCTCTAAAAAGGAAACCTGGGCTGATTGAATGTGGATTGAAAAGATTTTTGGGGGCCCCATGTTTAGCCGATGCTGCCCAATTGGAAAAAAAAAAGTGGTCTAAAAACTTGGGCTATAAATTTTTTTTGGGCCTTTAAAATGTGGGGACTCTAGTCAGTCATCTTAGTGGTCTAGCCCTAAGGCCAGCCCGGGTGGAAGCATAACTCATTGCCCAGGGTCCATAACCCATTTCACCCTATTGCTGTTTATGTGTGTGTGTGTGTGTGTACGTGTAAATGTAGTGGTTGTAGGGGTGGAAGAGCTATGGGCGTCATTTAAAAAGGTTTAACAAATGGAGAAAGTTGTGCTTCACAAATTATTGTCCAAATTTTATATTTCAAGTGATGTGTTAAAATCTTATGTATTAAATATTTGGTAGAATTAATAGATCTCACTAATCCAACCACTTGTATTGATTTGAGATACAAAATTTGAACAAATATTTGTACAGCATAGCATTGCTCTGGATAAATTATTGTCTAAGCTCTCCATACAGGGGTTAGAATTCTCTTCGATTTTATCTAGGTAAGATTTAGGATATCAATAATGTGGTGTCTTTGGAACCATCACTTCCAAAATTTCTGATAAATTTAAGAGTAATCTTATTTTACTTAAAAATTTATTGACAAAATAATGTGACTTTAGTAAAATTATTGGATCAACATCAAATTTCAATGTTTAATGAAACTCATAATCAATCCAAAAGTTATAATAAATTAAATCAATAAATTAAATTCCATTTGCATTGCTCTAAATTTAAACCCAAATCCTCCCTCTTTATCTTCTCTCCATTTTTTTTTCTTTTTTATGACCAGAAATTTCTCCAACAAAAGGTGACATTGGACACTTCCTTCTCGAGGCAACTCTTAAATACTTGCAATCACTAATTACTATCGATTAAATCCACAAATTACCTTATCACCACCTTGTCAAGTACCTTGGGATAATGTCAGATATGATCTATCAATAAATTTTAGAGAAGCTTCGAAAGCTGATCTACCAGTATGCAAAACCATAAAAGATAATTATTGGCAAGGGAAATACTTATGTATCCGAACATAAATACACATTCTTACACTAATTTCCTGCATGCAAATCTATTACATATGGAAAGTAGAAATCTAGAAGAAAAAACAGAGCAGCAGCCATTGATTTGCTGTGATAATTTTGAAGCTCGATCCCCTCTTTGTCGATTATAAACTCCTTGCCAGAGCTTCATGGAAGTTCATTCCGTGGGCAGAGACTTGAGCTTGTATGCATCCATGATTGTAAGCATTAAGAGGCAAAAGACGGCCAAGTAAGATAGCGAAACGGACAGCGTCACTTTGTCACAGAATTTACCCACGCGATCGCAAATGGCTATCCAACCTGTCTGGCTTTGTCCATAACGACCCACGTAGCCGATTGCAGTTGCCGCAGCACATCCCGATATCGCCAACACCATCATCACCTGACAAAACATTCTCAGCCCAGATTCACCTTGTCCTTAGAATTAGTATTAGGAAAAGGATTGTCCATCGATCTGTCATAGAATTAGTACTAGGAAAAGGATTGTCAATCGATCTGTCATGTTTAAGTCCATACTTTATTAAAATTTGTTCAATGCACACATAATACATTTACAAGTATGTCTAGTCCAATCCCTGTCGTTGGTAAAGAAAACAACTACTTGTTCATGTTTACTTTTTCGCCTTTAATCAAACATTAATGAAGCAGCAATAAATTTTGCTTACCATATCATGCAAAAGGGTGTAGAAGTAATTTTGGGTATTTGATTTCGGACGGTTCATCACACAAACAACGATAAGTGACAGCAAAGAGCAAGCGCAAACAACAGCATCTGCCCCAACTTTGAACCTGTAAAAGAAAAAACACAAGAGAGTGAGAGAGAGAGGGGTCTCCATTCGTTTCTTTTTCGTTTTAGTAGGATGAGATTATTCAATAATTACCTGAACGCAGAAGAGTAGGTGTAACTGGCTCGCATATCAATCCCAAATATTGTCACTGTTTGTGCACTCGTGACGATTATACATATTGCGGCCAATGTAAATGCAATTGCTAGAATTCTGAGACCAATTTGTGCCATGAAGAAACCCCTCGGCGGTGGGCTTAACGATTTTGGTACTGGTTCTGGTGCAGGCAGGACTTGGACGGTGAAAGAACTTACCTGTTTTGTCATCTCTGACTCCATGAAATTATAAGGTTGAAAGAGCAAAAGTCTTGCAGGAGCAAATCAAACGACGGGGAAGAAGAAAGAATCGACTGCTTAATTTTGATAAAGGAGAGAGAGAGAGAAAGAGTGTGGGGTTGATATAAAAGGACGAAAAGACGAATTCTTTTAATTAAGAGAAATTGAAAATAGAGCACGATTCTCACTAATTTATGTTTTTTTTTTTTGGATAATTTTTTTTATTCTCACCCTTTATTAATAGTAGATGATTTTCCAAGATAAACATTGAAAAAAAAAATTATTATACTATTTCGTCTTCCTACCCAATACTTTGCAGAAGAGTTTTTTTTTTGTCTACCCTACCTGATAGTTGTGGTATTCCTACTAGATTAATCGGGTAAAAAATCGGGTAAATATTTTTGTAACAATTAATTTTTGGATCATTTTAACAATTTAATTAAATAACATGCACTAATTTAACAACACAATAAATCAATTAACACTAAAATCTAAAACAACTACAACAAGAATTATAATAAAACACAAGAAAGTATGAACATTTATCCACCATAATTGTTATACAAATGCAATAACAATTAATTTAAGTTTAAACTTTAAATCATATGTAATACATTAAAATTATAATTGCTCCGTTGTGGTAGTTCACCACAAATCATGTAACCAATCTGTTACGGTAGATGAAGGTGTGCGATCAGACCTTCCAAGTCAGACCACACCAGAGAGAGAGAGAGAGCTGGGTGAAAGTTTGGAACGATGAAGGAGGAGCAGTGGAGTGACCGAGTGAGGTATGAGGCGCAGGTGCTCTTGGGACTCGGTAGATTAGGGTTTTTTTACTATATATATATATATTTTTAAAAAAAAAAAAAAAATTATTGCTGGAGATTTATTGAACTGACTCAATAATTAAGGAAACTGTTATGTGATTGAGGCAATTACTAAAAGATTACCCCAATCCTAACTGCGTAGGTTGGGCTATGATGAATCAAGGTTTGAATGAATTTTTTAGGGAAATTTGGAGTCAATGTGACATTTATAATGGGCTTTAAGATGGTTTGTTGTTGATAATTACTACGAGATTCCTTAATTAAATAGGTTTGGTTTCAGCTTCCTGATGAGGTTAAAAAACTAGAATTAACATTAATATATATATATATATATATATATATATATATATATATATATATATATTTTGAAATTAAAGGTTTGGATTGCTCAGATACGACAACTTCAAGTATGATTGTCTCACAGTCCTAAGTTAAAATCTCACAAGAAAGTCCTAACATAAATAATGTGCATAATTTAAGGGTGATTGGGTTCATCAAAAGTTATATTGTAACTAAGAGTCCAAAAAACTAATAATTACGATGACTATTCATTACATGTGAAAATAACTAGAGACATTGGTCAATTCATTAAGGTATCAAAAGAAAATAAAGACAATAGCTTATAGTTTAACAAAAACAAAAAATAACGTTGAAAAGAGGATAATGAGGGAATAAAATTTATCTAACCCAATTGAAAAATAAAAATAAAACTTTATTTAAATTGAAACTATTGACTATTGAGAGTTGCAGTAGATTAATTGTTTTGAAATGATGCCAATAGGCAATGACTTGTTTCTTATTGATATTGATACATTTATTTAATATTCATATATTCCACCAATATCTAGTAGCCAAGGCATTGCCCATTTTGCTTCAGATATGATACGAGTGTCCGTCTTGACAGTTAGAGCTTACCTTCCAGTTTATTGAATGGAATAAAAAAATGTTTGGATACTACCATACCAATTCTTCAAAAGCCTAGCCTATGATGAAAAAATGTTGGATTTCAAATGTTTTTGGGATGCGATGGACAATATTTAGCAGTTTAACACTTCAACCATTGACTTTTTTATTTAACAAGGGAAAAATTTAAACAAGTGTATTGATTTGTGAGGTTGGATGAGTTCATCTTGTTAAATAAGAATAACAACGATGAATAGTACTAGGAATATAATAATAATTTCACAATAATATTAATAATGATGAGGATGAGATCTTCTGGTACAAAGATTATAATTAATCCACCACTGATAAAATGCCGAACTAGTGAACAATCTCAATCACTTGGCTCGGTGCCTATGAGGGAGGGGTCCAAACCCCTAGGAAAAGACAAGATTTATACGCATGATTATGGGGTTAGACATGCTTCATTTTTTTAATGTTACTTGGAAATAATTTTTTTGTTATTGAATTGGAGTGAAAAAGTGAGCTAATGTACTTGTGATTTTAATCAAAACACAGTCTCACCCTCTCAATCTCTTCTACATTATACTTTATCNTTTTTAAAAAAAAAAAAAAAATTATTGCTGGAGATTTATTGAACTGACTCAATAATTAAGGAAACTGTTATGTGATTGAGGCAATTACTAAAAGATTACCCCAATCCTAACTGCGTAGGTTGGGCTATGATGAATCAAGGTTTGAATGAATTTTTTAGGGAAATTTGGAGTCAATGTGACATTTATAATGGGCTTTAAGATGGTTTGTTGTTGATAATTACTACGAGATTCCTTAATTAAATAGGTTTGGTTTCAGCTTCCTGATGAGGTTAAAAAACTAGAATTAACATTAATATATATATATATATATATATATATATATATATATATATATATATATTTTGAAATTAAAGGTTTGGATTGCTCAGATACGACAACTTCAAGTATGATTGTCTCACAGTCCTAAGTTAAAATCTCACAAGAAAGTCCTAACATAAATAATGTGCATAATTTAAGGGTGATTGGGTTCATCAAAAGTTATATTGTAACTAAGAGTCCAAAAAACTAATAATTACGATGACTATTCATTACATGTGAAAATAACTAGAGACATTGGTCAATTCATTAAGGTATCAAAAGAAAATAAAGACAATAGCTTATAGTTTAACAAAAACAAAAAATAACGTTGAAAAGAGGATAATGAGGGAATAAAATTTATCTAACCCAATTGAAAAATAAAAATAAAACTTTATTTAAATTGAAACTATTGACTATTGAGAGTTGCAGTAGATTAATTGTTTTGAAATGATGCCAATAGGCAATGACTTGTTTCTTATTGATATTGATACATTTATTTAATATTCATATATTCCACCAATATCTAGTAGCCAAGGCATTGCCCATTTTGCTTCAGATATGATACGAGTGTCCGTCTTGACAGTTAGAGCTTACCTTCCAGTTTATTGAATGGAATAAAAAAATGTTTGGATACTACCATACCAATTCTTCAAAAGCCTAGCCTATGATGAAAAAATGTTGGATTTCAAATGTTTTTGGGATGCGATGGACAATATTTAGCAGTTTAACACTTCAACCATTGACTTTTTTATTTAACAAGGGAAAAATTTAAACAAGTGTATTGATTTGTGAGGTTGGATGAGTTCATCTTGTTAAATAAGAATAACAACGATGAATAGTACTAGGAATATAATAATAATTTCACAATAATATTAATAATGATGAGGATGAGATCTTCTGGTACAAAGATTATAATTAATCCACCACTGATAAAATGCCGAACTAGTGAACAATCTCAATCACTTGGCTCGGTGCCTATGAGGGAGGGGTCCAAACCCCTAGGAAAAGACAAGATTTATACGCATGATTATGGGGTTAGACATGCTTCATTTTTTTAATGTTACTTGGAAATAATTTTTTTGTTATTGAATTGGAGTGAAAAAGTGAGCTAATGTACTTGTGATTTTAATCAAAACACAGTCTCACCCTCTCAATCTCTTCTACATTATACTTTATCTCAAAAATAAAAAACCCCCAAATTTGAACATAATTAAGTTGAATTTGAGCATCTTTTAAATTTGATAAACTCGACTCCCTCCCTCGAGTACCACCTTTTTTAATTTAGATACAATTAAATGTAGCTAATCATGTAATAATTTAACTAGTGATGGGGCTAGCTGATGTTGATTGTCTCCCTCCTTTGGCCTAACCCTATGGTGGTCTAATCAAATTTTACCGTCAGAAGTGTTGTGTGAATTACATTTACACCCCTACATAAAAAAATAAAAATAAAAATAAAAATGAGAAACAGAGCCTTAGACAGAGGGAGAGTAAATATCAGGTGTACCGGTTTGACACGTGATAGGCATGCTGGTGTAGATCCAATACAATAACGTAGCACATTTACAAGACCAGTTGTGTTATAATTAAACACCTTTTGGCTTTGCTGGTTGGTTAGGGGTAATGCAAGGAATTCCCAAAATAACCATATTTCTTTACATATGCACATAATTATGTAAATGTAGAGGTCCTTATTAAATCATGTAGAGTTTACTTATCCACAAATAAAATTTATTATGAGTCAAAAATACTATGTAATAGTGATGCGGTTACTCTTCCAACCAAAACAAGACACCAATTAATGGGAAAAAAAAAAGTGAGAATATTTAATATAACGGTAATATTATATCAGTATTGATAATACGGTATCATCAACTAATAATAAAACTCCAACTGGATGAAGTGAACTTCGCTTGAATAATTATTGACTTGCATAAAAAAAAAAGTGGATAATTATCTGCTTATAATACATGCATAGATAAATTATTTGTCTATTTCCTTATTAAGTTATTTGTCTACATATTATTAACCTGTCAATAATACCATGTGATAATATTTATGTAATATCATCGCTCTAATGATCATTTTTGCAAAAAAAGAAAAAGTATAAATTACACTGACATCGCTTATAAATTGGTTTAATTACAAAGGCACCCCTTCAATTTTTTGAAATTATACCTACACCCCCTCTTGTTCCTTAACATATATAACAAAAAATACGATTTTTTGTAATTACCCTTACTATTCATTATTTTTTATTTATCATCCTCTCATATATTTATGTATTAATAAATGAGTCATTTTCGAGTTCAATCTGCTAAACTCAAAAATTGACACAATCAAACCGTTTATTTAATTGTATCGAACTTTTTTTATCTTCTCGTTTGTATGTTAACACAAATTTAATACAATCAATATGTTTAATTGGTGTTATAAAAATAAAATATTAATTATTTATTACTGTTTATTAAGCACTTACATAATTATTGTATAAAAAAATATTTTTACTCATAATTGTTACTATGTTTATTAAATTAATTTTTAGTTTATAGAAAAAGTATAAACATGAAATCAATTAAGTGAAAATAGAATCTTAAACTTAAATTTTTTTATTCAAAGTTTATACAGGTCAATACAAATATAAAAACTCAGACGAATTGTAAACCTAAATGTTAGGGGTTCGATTATTGCCGATGTCTATTGGATTTAACCAATACTTATAGTTTACAGGTGATTGTAAGCATCTGGGGTTTACTCTCGCAAGTATAGGTCTAAAGTGGTTTTGCCTTTGAGAGGTTCCACGTTATCAAAAAAAAAAAAACACCAATACGAACGCGACACGAAAATAAATAAATTAACCTAATTTTGTTCGGAGGTAATATGTGTATTAAAGTATAAAAAATTGATAATGTAATTATTTTTTTGACATTGCCAATAGTAATGCAAATCATAATAGCACTTTATGAAATAGGTACGTAAACACTAAAGGGTGTTAATATAATTTTTAAAAATTGAAGGATGATTTCATAATTAAATCTATAATATAAAATATGATATATTTCAATAAGTTCATCTAACCGTTTCAAATAAATTTATTTAATAATCATCAAACTCATTTAATAATTATTAATAATTATTTTAAAATTATTCACATTACATCACATATCCCTCTTATGGCTAGGCAATCTACAACGAGTGTTTGCGTAATTGAACCGAAAGAAAGCATGGACCACCAACCACGGAATAGCCTAGAAAAAGGATTCGTACATGTCTCCAACTATCCGCTCAGTATTTAATTAGTAACCATCATGATTCAATTGATGACGCAATAAGGATTCCGCAAAGATATTACTATCTCATTGATTTGTGGGACAACTAACCCAATTTCCAAGCGTTATTATTCTCCATAGTCTAACTTAATGATAAATAATAACCCAAAAAAATAATAACTTAATGATAAATAATAATTATCTTTTTGATTGCAACCTTTTCTGAGTGTACTTACTTACGGAAAAAAGAAAAAAAACCATTGTTCGTAGCGAAAATAAAGTAAGTCATTATACAGTAAATATTGAACATAACAATGATATTAGTAACATAATATTACTAACTAATAATAAAATCTCAAATGAAAAAAATAAATCTTACTTGAGTTTACACGGTAGAATGATGAGAAATTATTTGCACAAATTAATTATTAATTTTTATGAGATTTATCTATTTATTAATTTTAATATTATTAATTAATATTATCACATCATCATTTTTTTACGTGATACCACCGTTACAATGAATATTTTTTCGTCGTCATGGGTCGACTTCTTAATAGGCTTGAGGTTTTTTCTTTTGATTATTAGTATCATTTGGAAAACGGAGCAGACTATTTCAATACCATATCGAAAAGATGCCAATAGAAGACAATCGAAGTCGTAAATCTGAAGGTTCTTTTAAAATCTTAAATAGGAACATAAATATCAAAAGTCAAGTCATTAGTCATTGCCCAGTCATGATCAGAAAAAAATTATCATTGCTGGTAGGAAATCAACTGCTTGTACATGCCGATATATATATTTTGATTATTTTTTTTTATTTGAATAAAAACAAATTATTTATATCGAGAATTAAAATATTTATAAAAAATAAAATATTCTTATCTTTTATCTCAAAAAATTGTCAATATTTAAAATTAAAATATCTAAATTTATCACTCTTCTCTATTATTACTAAAACTATAGTTGAAGTTACATGCCATGCCAATGTTGCTACTCAATCAGTAATGAGAAGCGGAGAGAAACAATTCTCTTTCCACCAACATCCTAAAGAAAGTTCAATGAAACTAGAAATTTATTGTCACTCTCTAGCCTCTTTATTCAGATATCAATTGTGCTCATTGTTGACCCTAGAGTTCCCACTCCTTGTGATTGTGACAATAAGTTTTGCCGTAATTGTCTTCTCATCATCAATAGATCACTTGTACATAAGCTCCACCATGGTTGGTACCTCTCTCTTTCCTCTGTGTTTTAAATTTCTCCTTTTTCTTCCTTGTTTCCCCCGCCCCCCAAAAAAAAAAACATATTACTTTCTTAGTCTTGTAGCAAAATAAAGATAGCAAAATTGGTGGCTGTAAGTGCCCACAGTCAAGGTTTTCTAAAAGTGCCTCCTGGACCACCTATATTGTAGACCTTTTTGTTACCATGATCACTAACTTTTCAAAAAGAGGGTCCAATCCCTCTTCCAGACACAGGAATGCAAGTATTATTATTTTCAAACTGTTGAATATTTGAATATTCAAACTATTGTAGTGACAAAAGTTACATTGTTGTTTCCTACGCTCTAGAAAAGAAAATGAAATGACAAAGCTTATAAGCGTGGCCTGTAATTTTTAATTTTTTTTAGTTGTTATTATTGCTAACTTTCTCTAATTTGTAGTGCTATAATAAGTAAAAACACTAGTCAAACTTAATTGTTGGTCTGGCTTGTTGTTGTTGTTGGTGTATGTAAATCCAACGTTACATTGTCCTGAAAGGTCATATGATTAATGATGAGCCCCACCCACCCCCGGGGGGGGGGGGGGGGGGGGCAAAAATTAGTCCAGGGTTGGACAGTATGTGGGCACTGGGGGCACTCAAATTGGTGCTGGAGCGCCCCCCCCTTTCTGGCCTAAAATGCGCTTTAGCTTTATCTTCCAAAAATCCAACCTTTAGGCTCCAAATTAACCTTGTTTCCTCCCAAATGATCATGATTCCTTCCAAACTATCATCCCTACAAAATAACATCAAAACACACAAAATAAATGTAAAGGAACATACAATAATTGAAAACTTACAATTTTATCAAACCGAAAATACTCAATTCGTAGGTATAAAACCCACTTATCAGGTATTCGTAGGAAGTTTTATTTCAGATCCTCTTGAGAACGACAAGCTATATAAAGCGGAGGTGTCCCCACATGGAGCAGGCGAAGTTAAGGAAGCCAATTTGAAAAGAACTTTCAGGGTGAACGGGCAGAGACTGAAGCAATATTAGGGTGACAACATTGATCATGAAAAGACCTCAATTACCCCTGCTAACCCGGGATGAAATAGGAAGTAGTCAGGATGAAAACTATATAACAAGCGCTAATTGGGAGGCAACCCAAATTTTAGTTTCTAAGTTTTATTTCATTTTATTTTAATTAATTAATTTATTTGTTTTTATAAGAAATAATGTAGCTAGTTAGTTAGTGCATTTTAATTGGTATGTCAATTGCTTGCAGGTCCCAAGACTTGAACATAAAGTTGGAGCACACACAAAGCCTTACTAGGAGCCAAGAACAGCCCACCTATGTTTTTCGAATACACTCCCGACTTAGCGGACGACGAAGATGATGCTGACTAGCAAAGTTTCAGGGAAGTCCTCTGTCTTAATTTTTCCTACTTTATACATTGAGGACACTGTATAATTTAAGTTTGGGGGTGTTGTTTTGTTTGCATTTGCATTATTAGGTATGCATTTAGATAGCATGTTTTTCACTTTGAATAACATGTTTTAGTATAACTTAAGCAATGAGTTGATTGAATTTGATTATGGCCAATGATGAATGGAATTAATTGTCAACTTAAGGGAAATTGATGAACATGTTGAATCTATAGTTTAACATACTATTTGGTTTTACACTGTTTGTGATATTTTCATTCATTAACACATATTCATCTGTTTGGTTAGTTATTATTTGAAAATTTTATTTGGTTAAATACTTTTGTGAGATATCATTGAAACTTTAGAAAACTTATTTAAGCATTATTCAAAGCAAATTGA